GGTCTTCCAATAATCTTATTGTACAATGACCAGGAGTTATCTTTGCTAATATTCCATTTTTTTTCTTATTGAAAGTATATACTAGCTTAAACTTACCAAATAAGTCCATCTTTTTATCTTCTCGTGTACCTACTATAAATTTGTCACACTCTACTTCAAGGTTCTTGTTATTTGATAGCTCCTTGAATATTGTAGTCAAGCTTTCTTCTATATCAAGCTTATCATTAATATTCTTATCAGCAAGAAGTTCTTCTAAGTGCTCAATTTCTTTAACTACTTCTTCTTTGCTTCCAGTTATATCCGATACAACATAAAGAATATTCAACAAACTACTGTCCAGCTCATTCGTCTTCTCCTTTAAGTAAAGAATCTTGTCATTCTTCAAGTCTGCTATCACTCTACACCAATCCTCGTGCATTTCATAGTCAGTGGCTTCTCTTGGCTCAGTGTACTTTTTAAAGAAGTCTTTCAGTGGCTTAGTTTCTTTATTGTCGGGCAGATGGTCTGTATTGTACTTCTTTTTATTTGGATCATATACTAAACAGCACACTAGTCCTAGCAAAGCTGCTTCTACACAGTTGGAGTACTTTCTGCTTTCATTGTTTATGAACTCGCCCTTTTCCCGATCATATGCTTTAACCCGAGTATAGGACGGAAGCTGTGATGAATCCATGAATGGAAATATTTTATACTTGTCTATTGTATCCTTAAGATCGCAAATGTTCTTAGTGTGGTTGATTTTACTTGGCCGTGCACTTTCTTGTATAAAGCACTTGCTCAGTACTCTCTCGTATGACTTTTCATTTTTTATCTGGTCATTCAAAAGAGTATATACAGCATTTACAAATTTAATGTAATTTTCTTTTGTGTCAATAAACTCGTATATGTACGACTGAATAAGGAACTGGGACGTGTTCAAAAATTCTCCTGTCATGAACTGCTCATAGTTGGTTGGCACAGTAGGCAGTCCTTCCATTGCACTTGGATTCACCCCTTCGTTGTCTATATACTTTTTTAGAAACTCAATAAGACTCAGTAAATTTTCGTTTGTTCTTGGCTGGTTAATGTATGTAGTTGTTCCATCTGCACTTTTCAGAACAAGTTTTTTCTTTGTTTCTATAGTAAAAGAAACGTCCACCTGCTCAGACAGAAGGAAAAGGGCTGCCATAATGTGCATGCACTCTGGCTTTACTCTATCTTTTATAAGAAATGAATAAATTGAATCCTGTCTTCCT